GGTGTGCATGCCCGAAATCCTAGCAGAAAATGAAGAAGGGACTGTGGCAAGGCCATCCCCTGTGTCCCCTTGGGGGTGGAGGTGGGGGATTTCTTGCTTTCTCTCTCTCCTTATCTCTCTCTCTATCTCTGGTGAGTGTATGTGCCCTATAACAAGCTAAAAAAAAAAAAGGTATATATATATATATATATAAACAAAAACTGCAGGAAACACACACAATAAAAATAAAAGAGACACAGTATTAGTTGGAAATGAACAAATCTTTGAGTCCTCAATTGGTTGATAGATGACTGCCAATAACAACAGCAAAAATGGGCGAGGGTCCAGGGGCCTGATTTATAAGGGTAGTATTCGACCTACCGTGCATGTTTATTTACTTCTGTAACTTTAAGCTAAAAATATGCATTATCTTCAAATACCTATTGAAAATTATCCACAGAATAAGCCATTTCCAACATGTAGAGGCTGTACTTAAACAAATTACCCACACTTTGCACTAAAATAAAAAACTAATAATGAGGGTCGAAATAATAACAACATGATAACTACCTTTAGTTTTTAAAAGTCTTCTAACCAACTCTCAGGGATAGAGAAAACTAAATTATGCCTTCAGAATATCTGAATAAAATGAAAATATGATATAAAAAAATGTAAAATACGGGGCCAGCAGGTGGCACAGTGGTTACATTGCTGGACTCCCACATGACTGATCATGGTTTGAGTCCCAGGCCCAGTGGCTTGAAACTCATGCCAGGAGCGTGTATATGCGTGCCCAAAATCCCGAGAGGAGACTAGAGGAGAAGGGATTGAAGCGTGGCCTTCTCTCCTGGGAGGTGATTTCTTGCTTTCAGTCTCTCTGTCTCTCTCTGTCTCTGTGGCAAAAAGTCAGGCTACTAGTTAAACCACTCCTCCAAACAGAAGCAGATGCAAATATACAAAATTAGTAATAAGGAAAAGGAAATAACCACAGATACAGAAGAAATAGAAACAACTCCAAAGATATGCAATATGCCGACACGTGAGGACGTGGAAAAGAGGGTACTTTTCTTGGAAAAGACCAATTGCATGAGAAAAGAGAAATTTAAATCCACTGAACACCACGAACACACATCAATCAAATTGCTAACAAGCCGTCTCTGTCCCAACGTGCCAGCTCTAAGGAAGTGTTATCCCCAAAGTGTTAAAAACTCTTGCAGCTGCAGAGGAAGACTGAAAACCTATGAAATGATCACATTGCTGATACTAATGCCTGACAAAGCTCCAAAAAAAAGGGAAAGATCTGGCCCCATACTGCCTACACACGCAGAAACACGACCCCACACGAGTGCAGCCCGTCCAGCCCGGTGGTGCTTACTCTCCCAGTGTTGCCACAAAGTACCACCACAAACGTAGCTGCTGGAAAGTGCCCAGCTTTGCCAGCTCGCAGCTTCTTAGGTCAGAACTCACCTCCCCGGGCTAAGATGGAGGTGCCAGCCAGGCTGAGGCTCTCACCCGGGGCTTGCTGGTTGCCACGGGATTCATTTCCCCTCACATGTTCCAGGGGCCCATCTCTGACCCGGCCAAGCCGGGTCAAGCCCTTCTCACAGTAGAACCTCTTCTACTCCCTCCCCGGTCCTCAGCTGGGAGGAAGCCCTGCCTGTAAGGGTGCATGTGCTTGTTCTGGGTCCTCCTGGGGAGTCGGGAGGAACTCTCTATTCTTTTTTAAAGAATTATTTTATTTTTTAAAATGTATTTATTTAAATTTGACCAGAGAGGGATGGGGGAGTGAGACAGTAAGCCACCAGGTCTGGGACTTGAACTGCAATCGGCCATGTGGGAGTCCAGTGCCTTTAACCACCATCCCACCTGCCGGCCCCAGGAACTCTCTATTTTAAGATAAACTGATTGGTAATCTTACTTGTATCTGCAAAGTCATGTAACATAATATTTAGGGCATGACTCTGGGGGGGGGGCAAAGTCACGAGGGTGGAAACTCTGCCTGCCCTGCAGTACTAAGAACGGCACACAGTGGTCCCCGAAGACCGGCAGGCCCAAGCCCCAGGCAGGTGCCTGGGACTGTGCGTAGGACCGAGCCCCGCCTATACCAGATTTTCCTGCACGTATACACCTCTGATGAAGTTTCATCTATAAAGTAGGCACAGCAAGAAATCAACAATAATATGGGACCAGCAGTTAGCGTAATGGCTATGTCGCTGGACTCTCATGTTGTCGACTGCAGTTCCAGTCCCGGACCCAGTGGCTTAAACTCACACTGGGCGCATGTACGTGCATGCCCAAGATCCCGAGAGGAAAATGGAGGAGAAGGGATTGCAGCGTGGCCATCCCCCCGGGGGCTGATTTCTCGGTTTCTGTCTCTCTGTCTCTCTCTGCCTTTCTGGTGAGCGCATGCGCCCTATAGCAAAAAACTCTCAAAAAAAAAAAAAAAAAAGAAGAAATCAACAATAATAAATGAAATGGAACAATAACAATATACTATACTAAAAGTTACATGACTTTGGACTCTCAAAATATCAGACCATGGGCATGGTGGTTGGGGTGCTGGCTCCCACGTGGCCAATCACGGTTTGAGTCCCAGATCCGGTAGCTTGCTTTCTCACTCTGTCTATCTCTCTCTGTGTCTCTTTCTGGTGAGCTCACAGGCCCTGTATCAAATTTTAAAAAATAATAATAATGATAAATAAAATTAAATAATTCTTTTTAGAAATGATCGGACTGTGGTTGACTGCAGATAGCTGAAACTGCAGAAAGCACACCCACAGGTAAGGGGGCCCACAGCCCCGTGACCACCACACCACTGCAGGGACGGAGGCCGATGGCCTGTGAGGAAAGCTAACGGAACTCACAATTTTGTTTAAAGATGCCGAAATGGTCTTTATAAAATTCAACACCAACTCCCGACATTTACACCATGGAGCTATGCTTCTTTACCTTTGTAAAACTGTACATGCCTCAAACCAAAAGCCAGTATCGTTTTAATGGTAACCCCAGAACACCCTTCGCGGAAGGGTGTCAGTAACAACCCTGCTCTGTAAGTACAACACGACGAGGTTCAGGGTGAAAGGAAAGTGCCAACAGTGACAAGGCCGGGGCCGAAGGACAAACGCTGTTAGATGGCATGAGGGTCCACCTGAAAGGCCTGTAAGGGTCAGCTGGGAAGCTTCTAGAAATGGTAGGAGGGCCAGCCAGGTGGCATGGTAGTTAAGGTAGCTGGATTCCACACCAATTAGGTGGTTTGAGTCTTGAACCAGGCGGCTTGAAAAGCACGCCGAGCACGGCATGTGTGCCCAAAGTCCTGAGAGAACGGAAGAGAAGGGATGGCTGTGTGGCTACTCCCCCGGGGAGGTTCCCCACTTTTCCTCCCTCTATTTCTCTCTGTGTCTCTCTGGTGAGTGCACATAGGTATAGCAAACTAGAAAAAAAAATGAAAGAAGTAAAGAAGAAAGAGAAAGAGGAAGAGTAAGAGAGTTCTAGAAGGAGGCTAGAATGTAGAGTAAGCCAGAATCAATGTGTTTCCTCTATTCCTGAAAACCCCACTCAGAAAATAAAATGGGTCAATTAGAGCAATAGACAATACGTTACCTAAAAGTACACTTAAAAAGAATAAGCCCAAGAAAGTGCTGACAGTAGCAGGGGTAAAGACCGGCCTCCTCACGTCAGACCACAATAGGTCAATTCAGAATCCAAGCTAAAGTTTTCATGGCAGTTTCCCCTTCTACGCGGTAACAGTATTCTAGTGTCCACTTGAGATAATGCACATGTGAGACAGACAGGAAGGAAGAGTAACGAGGGCCTGGTCTTGCACTGAGCACTGACGTGTAGGGCCAAGCGCGAGTGTAACAGCTCCACCATGGAGAATGACTGCAGGAACAGGCCTCAGAGAACAACAGGCAGTTCAGAAATAGACCCGAGCACGTCGGGAGCCTGGACGTGCAGGCGGACAACGGTCCGGCCATACATTAAAACAGAGCACGGACCACGGCCTGCAGCAGCCTCCCTGGGAAGCCAGACCACAATCGCGGCAGCCACCAGCCCCGGTGGCCGGGTGTGCTCTGCCCCGGTAGCACCTGACACTGGGTGACTTATAAGAAGTCAGAGGTTTATTAGTGAAACGTGCAATCCCAATGTCTGGGAAGTCCAAAGGGTCATGAAACAGCAGGAGGCCGGGCTTTCAGCAGGGCAGTGTGGTCTGTACCCGTGTCTCTCTTCTTCTGGTCTAATTTCCTCTGCTTATAACCCCACCGGAGCTCCACTGGGGGCCCTCTCTTCCAGTCTTACCGTTCTCAAAGGCCTTCCCTCTCTGGGGCACCAGGAAGGGCTTAAGCTCTCATTTTACACCCTTACGGTGTGGGAGGGGGGATATCCAAACTATAGCAATCAGTACCCGAGAGCTTCTCATTTGTGCTACCGTTTCTGAGGCAGGACCGAGCAGAGAAAGCTAAATACGCTTCCCCCAGCCAGCATCACAGGACAGTGCTTCTGTGAGCCAACCCACATCCCCACACCAGCGGCCCCCGATCAGCACACACCCAAACGGAAGCCTTTCTGCTCCCTGTCCTGCCCGCCTCAGCATCTCTGCCAAACACCAAGCTGTGGTGGCTACATTGTTTTGAAACAAATGGTTAATTTTTTAGGGAAAAAGACTCATTGCATGTCCACATCAAAGTAACATCAGCTGCATCAAGGATTTACATGTGAAAAATGAAACTGTAGAAATAGTAGAAGAAAACATTAGTCGATTTGCACAACTACCCCACAAGGAAGCAGGGTCTTATGGATGAGGAAGTGAGAATTTGAGAGAGGCAGGATTTGAACCCAAGCCTGATTCATTATTCACAAGGCAGATGGGGGAGGGTGAGTGTGTGTGGGGGTGACCAAGACTTGCCACTTGAGCACACACGGAGGCTCCTGCACACAAGGCCATCAAATGACCCTTGGCATAGTCCCTGGAGTGAGGGTGTCCAGGGGTGTGGCTGAGCAGGGAGCTTCAAGGGACAGCCTACCTGTTGGGGTGGAAGCCCAGGCTCTTCAGTAAGTGCGCCTGGTCCAGGTCCCGCGGGAAGCTGTGCAGCACCCACCCTTTCTGAATGCAGTCCTGCTGGCTGAGCCGCTGGGTCAGCACCTTCATGACGATGTTGTCAGGGACTGCAGAGAGAGGGGAGGGGACGGTGAGCTGCTGCTGGTCCAGGCCCAGGGCCTGTGGGCCGCCAACCCTACTTGACCGTAGACTGAGCTGGGTAAGAGGAGCCACCCAGAATCACCTGGACAGGGCTCTGCACATCAGCTGCCAGGTCCCTCCGCAGTTCCAGGGACGGCAGAGAGACTGCAGCCAGAGACGGGAGATGTACCAGGTGACCTTGACCTTTCCATGACTCAGGCACGATAGCACCCTGCGCGCAGCCGGGGCAGTTCCCAGCCCTGTGCTGACACATGGGGAGGCAGCTGTCCCCACTCAGGCTGTCAGGTGTCTGTCACAAAATGCCACACACCGGGGGGCTTAGAAATGAGGCATTCCTCATGCCGTGGAGCCTGGGAAGCCTCAGATTAGGGCGGTGCAGGCTGAGGGCGGGCATGTCGGCCCTGGACGGTGCTTTCTTGCTGTTCCCTCCCTGGGCAGATGCTGGGTGAGGGGTTCTCCCAGGGGTCTGTTTCATTAGGGCATTAATCCATCCATGAAGGCCCCACCCTCACGACCTAAGCACCTCCCAAGGCTGCATCTCCTATCCGGTCATCTCGGGGCTTAGCTTTCACCACGGGCATTTAGGGGAGCACAGACGTCTAGGTCAGAGCATGATCCTACGACCCAGTTTTTGCAGCAAACCCTTTTCACAAAAGCGCAGCAGACCCCAGCTGAAATGTCAGCTTCCTTAAACAGGAGCACGTAGGTGCCCGCTCTACTCGGCTACCTCGAGAGCCGGCTTCCTTCCCCACTCCCTGCTCCGCTCCAGGGTGTTAGAACCGAACCTCAGGAACCGCCGCTCACTCTTACACAGCCGTGGGGAAGCCTCTGTCCACATTATGGCAACTGACATTCCCTGGAAGCCGAACCTCTGCCAGGCGCACTAAATGCCCTGCGTTGCTAACTACCAGTGCCACGTTCTAGCCGCTGGCACTGCATTTCCCACACTTTGCACTCACTTCCCAGAAATGCTTGGTAAATACTACCATTGTTTACCGTGAGAGTGCCCCCAGTGCAGCCGTGCGGCCAGCGGCCGGCTCCCCGGAGTACAGGGCCAGGGAGCGTGGCAGTTCCCCCAGAAGCTGCGTGGCTCCCCTCCTGCTGACCACCTGGGGCAGGCCAGAGGGTCAGTGCTCCCCTGAGACCTCCCAGGGTGGCTGGGGGTGAGAGAGGCGGAAATCACCACCCGCCTCCTCCCTGGGATGACCACCCTGCCACCAAGAACCACACCTTCCTGGTGGTCTGCCTCCCTGCATTCGTCCATTCTCACACCTCAACCTTTCCTCCAGTCCCCAGGAGAGAGCAGAGGAGGGACTTGGCTGTAAGGAGAACAAGCCAACTAACGCGGGCGAGAAGTTGGCCTCACTTCGCCATCTCTCCTCCCCAGGGAAACCTGTGACTCACTAGCGCTCTGAGGATAGTCTCCACAGCGGGCCTTGCCGACCGAAGCCTGCCCTCCTCCTGGGTGCGCTTTCACACCCCCTTGTTTGGCCCCTCATCTGGGGGCCTCTCCCCAGGGACACGCCCTCGCCGGGCTGCACCCACAGGTCTCATTGCCCCTCACCAGCCAGCTTTGTGACCCAGGGTCATTCTCTCTAGGGGCTCCTTGTTTCATGTCTGGGTGCCAGGGGAGCCCCCGTTCCTCACTTTCCCTCACCTGGCAAGGAGCCCGGCTCATCGCAGGTGTGGACAGCCAGCCAGGAGGCGTCCCTTCCTAGAAGCTTCTCATCAACCCACCAAATTTATCAAACCAGCTCGACCAGCTTCGGGGAAGTAGCGGGTAGAGAGGCAAGCACACGGCGTGGAGGGCTGCCCGCCGAGGTCTGTCCCGCATCAGCCTCTCTCCGAGCCTCGGTTTCCTGTCTGCCCAAACGAGGTAACAGGAGGCACCGCGGGGCGGGCACCACACACAGAGTCCCGGCAAGTGGGAGACGCGGCGAGATGGCGTCCGTGATTTCACTCAGGAGCCGCGTTTTGGGAAATAACGCTTCGGGCATATTTCACGTTTCCCCAAGGTCAGGGCACCTGGGCAGATTGCTGGCACCTGGCGCAAAGGATGACCAACCGCAAACAAGCCCCAGAGTGAGAGACCCCCGGAGAGAGTTAAGGGTCTCTGCCCTGAAGGCATGTGTTTACAGGTTGGAGACCTGCCCCCCCCAAGTTCTTTACATTCCAGGGTGACAGTCGGGAGGGACTGGGGGCGGCTGCGTGCCTAGAGTCGGAACGGTGGAGTTCCTGCCCCATGCTAGGCCCCTGTCCACCAGGGCACATCCAGGCCTGTCCACCTCGCCCGTGGGGAACCGGGAGGAGAGAAGCCAGCTCTAGGAGACTGCTAGGAGAGTTTAGCCGTGTAGCCCGGTAGTTAGGGAAGCCAGAGGGCACTTCGAATCCTGGCTCCCACGCAGGTGTGTGTGCGTGCGTGCCCCAAATCCCAGCAGGGTGGGGGAGTGGCGGGGAGGGACTGTGGTGCAGCTGCCCATTAGGGGAGCTTTTTCCTTCTCCTCTCTCCCTCTGTCTCTGGCTCTCTGGTTCAGAAACACTGTGCTTTCTGTCAGGATAAATAAAAACAGATGGAAACAATGTGGGTAAACTCGCCATAGAATTTTCCAGCCCGGGTCTATCTCAAATAGCCACAGACATTTTCACCCAAATAAAGAGCTAGTAACTGAGATCAAAATAAGCCTTTACCAGTGAGTCGCCCAATAGTTACTGAACACCTAGGCTGTGCCAGGCACTGGGGGTGATCTGGGACACACGGCAAGCAAGACAGCCAGGGCCCTGCCCTCCTGATGTCTCCGTCTAGTGGGGACGACAGACAATGCACAGAGAAGTAGCCACTTCAGACCATCACAGCAGACCACGGGCTCTGCTGGTCTCGTGTCCAGCATGGCCGCCGTGGATGTCCATTTGGTTGAGATATGACTGGTGGGCCCAGCTGATCCCCAGAACCTTCAAGGCCCTGGTGTTCGGGGTCAGGGCTATTTGGGATTGCTCTCTGCCATAACGGGGTCTTGCTCAGAGCCAGCTGCACCCCGGAGAGGGGGGCGGTCTGCCCCTGAACCACTGCCTGTCCTGAGTACCCAGAAGGCCAACCTGTTGGCCTCCTCTTTTCCAAGCTGAGAAACAGAGGCCCGAAAGGTCATGACTTAGATGACCTGCCCAAGATCATCAGCCAATTGGTGACAGGGCCCTGCCTCTAGCCCATAATGCCCCCAAAACATTCTCATTGCGTAGTGGCCCTGAAGCCCCTGCGTCTCTCACTTCAGCCACTTATAACCCAATAAGCAAATTTTCTCAGCTTTTCCTTTGCCTGTTAGTTGACAAAGATTTCTAGAGTTGACCTAACAGAAGAGGCCAAGGAAGTTAGAGTAGAGGTGGGAATTAGGAGAGTTTGGTTAAAGGATACAAAGTTCCAGCTGGAGGGGGGAGTAAGCTGGGGCTCAGCACAGTAGGCAGTTAATGTAACAATCATGGATCTTTCTCCTATGTTTCAGAAAAGCTAGAAGAGAGGATATTTTTTTCTTTTTTTTTTGGAGAGGTTTTTGCTATAGGGCGTGTGCGCTCGCCAGACAGACAGAAACAGAGAGACAGAATGCAGGAAATCAATCCCCAGGGAGGATGGTCATGCTGCAATTCCTTCTCCTCCATTCTCCTCTCGGGATCTTGGGCACACACGCATACGCGCCTGGCGTGAGTTTTAAGCCACCAGGTCCGAGACTTGAACCGCGGTCGACTACGTGGGAGTCCAGCGACATAGCCATTACGCTAACTGCTGGTCCCTAGAAGAGAGGATTTTGAATGTTACCAACACAAAGAAATAAGAGATGTCTAAGATGATAAATTAAGTACCCTGGTTTGATCATCACACATTGTATATGTGTATTAAACCATTATGGCATACCCCATAAATATCTACAATTATCTCTCCTTGATTTAATATCACAGTCAAAACATCTTATTATTGGAACTTGGAAAGAGGTCTGACAGAATATGAAGAAACTTATATAATATGATCTAGTTTATTATTTTTTTAATTTTAAAAAAGTGATTCATTTCTTTATTCTGTGGAGGGGTAGAGAAAAAAAGCATCCCCAGCAGGGTCTCCATGCCTCCATCCAGCCAGGGTCACGTGCACACGCATGCAGCATCCCCAGCAAGGTCCCCATGCCCCCCTCCAGCCAGGATCACGTGCACACGCATGCAGCATCCCCAGCAGGGTCCCCATGCCTCCCTCCAGCCAGGATCACGTGCACACGCATGCAGCATCCCCAGCAGGGTCCCCATGCCTCCCTCCAGCCAGGATCATGTGCACACACATGCAGCATCCCCAGCAGGGTCAGAGAGGGGCTAGGCCCTGAACCCAGGACCTTTCCATGGTGCGCGGTTGTAGTCCCACTGCACCACTGCCTAACCCAGGTCTAGTAGCATATACATACATGCGAATACTTAAAAGACGTGCATGTACTGCACACACACGTCCTCATGCGGACAGAGAGGCGTGGCTGCCCTCGATGCTCGCGAATTAGCCCCATCCCTCTGCTCACCGAGCGCAGGTCCTGCTCAGGGAGGGGACGAGGACGAAACTCAATACGGTACTGTCTGCAAAGGCTCGAGGGTGCAGAGGGACACGCTGTCGTGGCAGAGGTAGAGGAGGCCACATCTCCGAAGGGCTGAGGATGACAGTGAGCCCCCGAGTCCCACCTCGAGTCAAAGCCCTGTCCTCGGGAGTCAGGCAGACAGACTCAGATTAGCACCTCCTCAAGGACACGCCACGAATGTAAATGAACGGTCCCTGGTGTGGTATTTTTGAACGGTCCCTGGGAGAGCGGGGGCCCCCAGACAGTCCGGCTCATGGCTGTACCCCACCCCACACAGGGCCTGGTACGCGGGAGGCGCGTAGGCCCTCTGCGGGTGAGTGCATGAATGAACGCTGCCCTCGCCGAGCCCCAGGAGGCTCTTGGGTTGC